AAAATATATAGGTGAAAAATAAAACAAAATGGCACTAGATTTATTAAAAAAATAAAAGCAGTCCCTTGCACAATCTCAAAACACAATCCATAAAGGTAACCCCAGAACATTGTGCCAATATATTTCTAATATGCTTATAAAGATATTTCTCAAAATTTCTACTCTAAATAATTATGGTTGACTTCCCAGTAGGATGGTGGAGGATTTAGTTCTCTTTAAACATACAACCTCCCATGGTCCTCTCCCTCAGCCTTTCAACATAACTACATTCCATCTTCATGAAAAGAATAGTCAATATTTACCTAATTATGAGTGACTGTTGTTTATTATTGAGCAACATTACACATTAAGATTTTAATTCCTTTAGTCTAGAACATTTTTGGTGTTCTGGATTAGTAGCTGCCAAGTTACTTTCTTTTCTCATCTATATGTCCCTAATTTTATTCAGATGTTCAAAAGATCTGTCTCATGTCTATCAATAAACTTTCCCAGTACTACACGAACTTCTCAAACACCCTAATATTGTTTCACTGTTTTCCTGGGGTCCTCTCTCTGGCTTCTTTAGTCTCGCCAAGGTACAGGTGCTTTCCTCAGGCTTCTCCCGCCTGTATCCTATATTGCACCCCCTTTCTCTTCAACCCCATGCCCTCTTCTTAGTTTGTAAGATCACAAGTAATACCAAGGTCTGAGAACTTCTGACAAGTCAGGGTTAATTATATCTGGTGTCCAACAACAAGAATATTGTTTGTGAAACCTCACTGTTTTTCTTGGCTTTACATGATTGATTATCTGTTCCTTTTTTATTTTTCATTTTAAAATATTTAAATTATTTTATTTATTTCTTTTTATTGAAGTAACATTGCACTATAATATTATATAAGTTTCATTGCTCCCCACCCCTCTTACCATGTCCACGCACTAATATGTTACTGTTAAAATCATTATGGAAAAATATTAATTAAATTCAATTAAAAGCTTAAAGGCAGAAAAAATAACACTATCAAACTTTTAGACACTTTTTTTTCAGTTTAAAAATAGGCTGGCACCCAGTTACTAATTACTAAGGACCCAGGAAGTGACACACAGTACTAGTCTTCCAGGCATCAAGAGATGCAGTCAAAATTTGGCAATTTATAGTGTGCGGTAGAGACAGGTAAACAATTACAACTCTGAATAGTGAAAAGCCAGGACAGTAAATGCACAGGGTGCTTTGAGAAGACAGAGGAAAAGAGGAACACACAGGGAGTAAACTAAAAATTTTTTAATGGAAAAGCAGAACTTAATCTATAGTATTAGATCATGATAACCTGTGATAATCCTTCGAAGAAGATTATAATTCTCATAGTTAAGTCTCTCTCAGGCTAAGTAAATACCCAGTGTCACCCTTCGAGAGGCAGAGCTGAAAATAGCGTTATACCAAGATGTCCTGATTCTATTATGTGCCATTCTCCAAAAGAGATCTTTTTTAAGAATATATTACAAGACAGATTTTTCTTTTCCTTCAACAAGATAAACAATAAACATGAATGAGATTTTTGTTTTGTTTTAGCAAGATTTTCCCCCTTAAATAGATTATACAGTCTTCTTTATGTATATTCCTTATACATTAAAAGAATGAAAGATAAAATACCCACAATTCCAATGTGACAGTGGGGTGGGGAGGTGTAAAAGAACAAAATCTGAGAACTGACAGGTCAAAAAATCCCTAGCTGAGTTGAAGTTCAAATCAATTTCACCCAGTCAACCACAGGAAACCCTTTACAGCAGGTGCAGTCCCCAGGTCAGCCAGCTGCAGTGAGCCCACATTCAGCGTGTGTGCAGGGGGGTGGCAGGAATTGCTGTAAGGGAGAAAAAGAAGCTCGCATTCTTTATGCCCAAAGCGGCTTTGAAGTTTTAGACTAAAAAGAGAAGCAAAGTTCTTGCCTCTTTAAATAATCAGGCATAGAAGGATGAATTTTTTATCCCTAAGTCTAAAACCAAATGTACTACCTTCCCTCTAACCAGTGCCTCCGCCCAACTTCCTGCTGTAACCTAAGCACAGAAGTTTCCTTGTTATTTCATCTTTTCCTGCACCCACCTTCCTGCATACCTAGTCAGTTTGCAGGTGCTAGAGACTCTGCCTCCTCAAGATGCCACACATCTCACCAATCTGTTCCTCCCCCAGATCCTGAGTTCAAGTTCCCCTTCCCAATATTCCCTGGACTCCCAAGTGATTCTTCCATCTCCTCTCCAAACCTCTCCAGCAACACATTAAGCAGAGATTTGATTGGTTATGTTTGCATGCTGTAAAACCTTTAATCACTCACTATGAACTGCTAAGTATATTCCAACTCTTCAGTTCAATATTCAAAGTTCCCTGTTACTGTTATTTGCCTCTATTTCTCATCTCATGTCTCACTATTCCCCTAAATTGATCCTAGTCTCCAAACAAATTAAATTATTATTGTCCCAGGCAGGCCCTTTGCGTCCTGCATCTGCACCTTTGCATCTGTGTTTTCCTTCAAAGTCTAGTCCATATGCTTTCCCCCCTCTGCTAACCTGGTCTAGCAATCTGGTTTTAGGGGTCTTGTGGCCCTTCCCAGAGTGGAAGAAGCTCACGCTGCAGTCACTCCTGAGGAAGAGGCCCAGTTCATCATTTACTGGCTACTTGGCATTTCCAATAGCTGTGCTGTGTGTCCTCATGCCAAGGCCAATTTCAGGAACAAGAGATGGTCAAATTAACACCTCGGGGAGCTGATAGGAACCCACCCTAACACTTCAACATCTTATTGCGTTGTTTTCTTGTAAAATCAGAAAACAAAAGCTTTTCATGGAATTCTTGTAAAGATTAAATGACAAAATAAGTCTAAATTACTAAATGCAGCCTGGCCCAGAGTAAACACTGCAAGCTATCCTGTCTTCTGCTCCTGCTTGGTTACTCCTGCTATTGCTCCGCTGTCTCACCACTGCTAGGAGTGGGATTATGCCTCCGCCTACTCCTACTACTATTTGTACTATTAGTATTAACAGTAATATCATCTCCACCAATGTAAACTCCTTGAAGGAAGGAGAAGGAATTAACATTTATTAAGCACCTGCTATTTTCCAAACACAGGCTTTAACGACCTGCCAAACATTGTGCTGAGAGCTCCCTACACATTTTCTCACTTAATGCTGACAGTCACCCTTTGAGAGTCTATGACTATCTCCACTTTGTAGATGACAAACTGAAACTGAAAGAGTTTAACTCATTTGCTCACAACTGCACAGATAAGAAGAGGTAGTCGTAGAACTGAAACTTAATTTTGTTTGTCTTCCCAGACCACTCTTTGATTAAACATATGTGATACTTAAATATTTATCAAATTAATAAACTAAGTCTTAACTTTAGAAAGCAAACTTACTTTTGCAAAAATTATTCTTCTTCCTGCAGATTAACTTTCACAGTCCAGGCAGGACTACAGACTTGTCCTACCTGCCTGTAGTTCTGCACAAAGGCGAAGTTGTAAGAGAAAACACTGAATGGCGACTATTTACAACTTCTTATCCAAAATTTTAGCCAAAGAAATACATTTAAAATACATGCTATTTAAAAAATGATCAAACACAAGTTTAACACAATTATAAATGTCACTGATGACTAAAAATTAATGAACCTGTGAGACAACTCTGAAAAGTCAAAATTGATCATTCTTGTCTAGCTGTAGTCAATGAAATTGCCCACGGACCGAACTGTAGTTTCATCAGCTTGATTAAAAGTGAAAACTAGAGGAAGGGCAAAGTAGGTCAAAAACTTCCTGAGTCCTTTAGGATTAAAACATTCACTGATAGTCAGAGTGTGTGAACAGATCGGTAAGGATCTATTTGTCATTCTTAGAGGCTATGGAAAGAAAGACAGGGCACCCTCAACTGGAAAAATTGATAATAATGAGAATGAAAAGCAAAGAGGAACTGGGCATGAACTCTAGCGAAAGGATTTCCAAAGTGGAAATTCCTTTATTCATGACCCGCACTGGGGAATTTATAGCCAAAGGATCAGCCTATCTACAGGATACACAAAGCAGGTTTTATTATGGGACTGATCAGGGTTTCCCAAGCCAGTTGTTAATTACATAATTCAAGCTTCCTACCATTATTTTTGTTCTACTCTTTTCACTCACACATGGACACATACACACACACACACATACACACACACCCCTACCCTTATATAAAGCCAGATATTATTCCTAAATTCTTCAACTAAGCCACCCTGAACCTCCCCCTCACTCACATCCACCACAAGTTCTATTTTTGAACCTCTTAGAACAGCACTCCCTCTCATAAACTAGTTTGGCTGTGTGAAGGGAAAGAAGAGAGAAAAGAAGAAATTGCAAGAAAGGGGAGATTTCAGAGACTGATAATAGTTTAACTGTATATTGTAAAAGCTGAACCTTTAGGATTAAAACATTCACTGATAGTCAGAGTGTGTGAACAGATCGGTAAGGATCTATTTGTCATTCTTGGCTTTTACAATTTTCCCGAAATGTAGAGAAGAGGGAATTCATAGAAAAACAATCAAAATCAGAATAAAAGAAAGCATTTAACAGAAAATCTGAATAAGACAACCTTTCCTAGGAAATCTCTCTGAAGTATTCTTTGGTTTTCTTCATCTGGTCAAAATTTCCAAAGGTAAATACTATATTCCTTGGTCCCAGATAACCATCCATTTATTAACAGCTTCTTTGAAGTAGGAAGAAAGGAAATATAACAAGGTATACACTAACTGTAAAATATATTCCATTGCAGAAATGTTAACTTTGGAGGTGGGGGTAGGAGGACTGGTTCATGATGCAGATAAGACTTAGATGGGGGAGCAGGGGAATGGAAATCAGAGCACAACCCAGAGCTGAGAAACCCAGTACCTGGACAGCCTCTTCTGGCTTGTGGAGTTGGCTGTTCCATAGATGGGTCCTTTGGGGTAGTTGGTGAGTTAATGGCTGCAAAGTAGAGATGGAGTTTCTACTGATTTAATGACTTCCCAGGAAGAAGTTGAGATGGGTGGAGCACTGTAGTAAATAAAAAAGACTTTGGGTCAGAGACTGTCTCATCTTCGAGCATGCAAAGCCAAGCCGCACATGCTTTCTACAACAGATCCCAGAAGTGAGTCTTGGTCAGTAGCGCATACAGTTATCTAGATCTGTATATCTAGATCTGTGGAAATCTTCTTTACACAAGCACTAGAAATACTTTCTTTATGGGATTCTACAATGGGACTCTTGCTTGTGAACAAGCATTCAAAGAGGTCATCGTCAAATGAAATATCTATATTCCCGACCACCTGTGTAATTCTCTGAGGGCTTGCTACCCTACGCTGAAGGATTCTCATTGATGAGAAGGATGCATTTGCTCTATTTCTCAAGAGAGACCCCAGATTGGAAGATGGGATTATGCTGTGACACTGTTGGGCTCCAACTTGCTGTCAGTGCACCTCTTGGTACATGTCATATTTCACTGTAGTATTGAGGATGGTCACAAAGTATCTTTGCAGTGCATTTCTGTGGCTCCATCTTTAAGTAAAGGTGATAGTATGAAAGGTTTAGCAGTCTTAAACCATACACCATTGTCTATATTTACCATTGCAAAGGCTTAAGGCCACATTAGAAAATTAAAACATCCCCCTCTTCAGAGGAGGAGTCACTAGCAGAGTCGACTGGCTTTCTGCTTCTACAGAAATGTCATTTGAGCTTTCCTGAGTACTTCCATTATCCATGAAGAGCTCAGGGAAACTGGAATAATGAAGAAAGAAATCAGAGTGAGGCCATTAAAGCCCAGTTCATTTTAAGGAGAGAGCAGTAACCACCCCTTCCCCTACATTTTAAATATCACAATGAATTTAAGTAACAGAATAAACAATTCACTGGGAGCACACATTATGTACAACTTTAATTTCTTCCTACTGTGTTCATTACCAAGCCATTTGCTTTCTTCAGGCAGGATGGGGGAAAAAACTTTTAAAAGACTCATTTAACACAGAAGTCTATTTCCACTAATGTAGACTTCGTGTGGCACACGTGGGCTTCCAAAAACAGATTTATATATACAAATATACAGAAATTAGTCTCTTCCTTTACAAGAACAATAAAAATTAGCCACCTTCAAACACAGCATTGCTATACTTAGCCAGTGGGGGAAAAATCTTGAATATGAGAATCATCTCGTTTATAATCATTGCGATGGGTTAGTATTTCTGATAGAAGTTATTTTCCTTCGCTGTATGAAATACTTCTAATTGTGAAGAAAACAATGATGATAATACCCAGCTTTTACTTTCTATTAGGTAGGGAGTATTTTTCATGCATTCTTCTCTGAGGAAGCAGGGATAAAGTGCTGTCCATCAACTGTAGCCAACAAGTTATTTTACAGAGTTCACAGCGCGGCAGGCTTTGACACTTATGAGGAGGGACACTCGGGGGACATATGGGTCTCCAGAGCTTTCACAGGATCACCAAAGGATCCACAGGTTCTAAAGATCCAAAAGCCACTTCTGTGTGTGCTCAATGAAAGGGAAGCCCATGCGGGCTTTGCTCTGGTGTGTAGGAGCCCACAGTGGGCAGGAGCTAGCTGGAAACCGTGGCAACCGAGCCACCTACAAAATGTTCATCACAAAGATTCCAAAGAAGGCCCTATTTTTTTTTTTTGTCCTGAGTGCTACCAATCACAGGGATAGCTAAAGATGGGGGCTTTCACTGGCAAGAATATGTGTCTGGTTTGTAAACAAAATGAGAATATGGAGGACCCTACCTAAACCCCTCCAATTTTTTCTCAAATCTCATTCTGTCCAGGAAATTTAGCCAGTGAAAATAGGCTAGGCGACATCAGTGCATGTGTGTGCATGCACACATACACACACACACATACACTATGCACCTGCTCACCTAGAATCCAAAAGCAAGAAGCTAAAACTCACCAGAGGAGAAATAAAAAATAAGTTTTAAAAATAATAGCTAGGCAAATGATACACATAAAAAACAGACAGTAAAGGAAATATATTAAATACAGTCTGTGTGTGTGTGTATATATATATTTTTTTTTTCTACAAGAATGTTCCATCTTTGATAAATAAATACAACCCCAAAAATACAACCCAAAAAAGAGTTTTCTAATAACTAATTCTTCACTCATGAAGTTTCCTCACTCAGAAACACATTAGCTTATTACAGAATTAGGCTTGGCCAGAATCTACTCCACAACAGCACTCATCACAAATCTGCACAATAACATCTATACATCAAACCCTTTCAGAATTTCAACCCAAATGTGCCCATGAAATATGTTTCAGACTCAATGCCATCATTTTTACACGTGTCCCAGCTAATTTCTCTACGTGGCTGTTCAAATGTCAGCTGGCATCTTAGTTATTTACAAAACACTGTCGTTTACTGCTCCTCTTGGAGGTTCTGTGAGCTATGTGTAGGGACTGTGCCTCCTGGCTCAGCAGATGAGGAACGAATGTTCACAGAGAACAGGTCAGAGGTAAGGAAGGCAGAACCAGAAGTCTAGTCATGTCCCTCCTCTCTAGTGCACTTCGGGAAATCGCAGATAGGTCTGCATCTTACAACACATGGGATAGTCTCTTGGTGGTAAGCTGGCAATCACCTTTTTTGGTTATGCCCTTTAGTCCTTCTTCTAGGACTGTTTCAGAGCTGTTTCTCACCAAATTTAGTCCCCAGTTCATGTCCTGGATTAAGGTTCCTTCTTCCAGAATAGCTCCCATAAAATCAGGATCAGAGAATACCTGAGCTGGCTCACTGGCTTCTCAGGGCAGAGAGAGAGAGGGAATGGCTACCACTTGATAGCCCACCTTCCAGCACCCCAGTTATTTATTAACAAAAAAGTCACCCTAAAAAAAATCACACCTGGCTTGCATTCGCTTAACAATTTTTCCTTTGGAACTAAACTCTCAAAAGGCTGTCTCCCATTCTGTTACAGAAATTCTGGTCTCCCCCAGTTTTTTCCTCTTTATCAGTCCTTATGGAAGTGATTAGTGATTTCTTACATATAAATGCCTTCATCATTAATTATATGAAGTGATTATAATTGTTTAATTCTTCTGTTCATTTCAATAGTGAATATTTGGGGAAAAAAAGTGAAAACAATTTCTGACGATGACAGGCAGAAGGCGGTAACTGAGTTGGCGTCAGTGTATTCGCTTTGAACAACTTAACAGAAATGAAGCATTGTTTAGTCGCATGGATCCCAAATACACACATTTGTTCTGAGAAGAGGACAGCCATTCTCCACGTTAACGGGGACCATATTAATTCCGCAGAAGATATTTTGGTTGTTTAGACAGAGTGGCTTATGGGCTCTGCCGCTTCATTAAAGCCAGCCAAGGCAAAGCAGGAAAAGGTTGATGAGGTCATAGCCCAGGAGTGAGGTCACCAGCTAGTCATCCTTCTCTGCCACAAAAGAAGTTTGACCGAGGAGAGGGTGCCCCTGGGGTAGAAGTCAACATGCCTGTGCCTGAGTCTTTCAGACCCAAAATAAAAGGTTTGGTCACAGAAGCAGATGACTAATAGCACTTACAAATCTGCTGTGAATGATACAATGATTAACTGACTATTCCAATCCCAGAAAGGTCACATTAGCAGCCTCTCACAGTGCTTCAGAGCTGAGGCAGTACCGTGTGCAACTCAAATTCCACCATGAGCTCGGAGAATGATTAAAGCAGAGGTGATCCATGGCTGCTTATAAATGAAATCCAAGATCCCTAATACTATCAATAATGTGGGGTACGGCACAAGATAATTGTGGGTGGCAAAAAAGATAGTTAATTTTGCTCTTTGTTTTTTAAGAGAGCCAAGAAAAACAGTTGGGCTAATGAAAATATTAGTTATTAGCTATAAATTTTGGAAATGAATGCTATTTTTAAGAGCTTAGGAGACTGTCTGATCATAAATCTTTCAGAGCATACACTATTAATTCAAGCCAATCAATAATACAGCATAACCCTCCAGCTACATTACCAATGAGAAGAAAATGTATTCACTCGTTTTATTCCCTCTGAAATCCATATCCAAAGGTTTGGGATTGATTATAGCAAGATAAGCTGTCTTCTTTTTTTCAAAATATTATTTATTACTCAAGCATTTCTAAAGCAAATAGCATGTTGTAATTCTTTAATTCATTGAGTGGAAAGCTGAGCATTTACTGACATTTCTTGAAAACTTGCTACAAGTCCACAGGAAAGAATCTGACATCATCACACTGTGTTTTCCTTAACTTGACAGGAAGTCAACGTCAAGCAGATTGACTTGAATCGGGACCTCATTTGAGAAGTCTAAGTGTCCAAAACACTGAGGTTTTTTGTTTGGTTTGGTTTTGGGTTTTTTTGGAAAATACTCAAATTCCAGCGACTTATCATCCTATACCCTACTTTCCGGAAACCTGGCGAGCCCATGTGGACTTCTGGTAGAATGAGCAATGCAAAGAGCTGGCTTGGACTTGGCGTGTCCTTATACTTCTGGGGATTGATGGATCTCACCACCAGCGTTCTCTTGGGCACAGCAACACCGCGAGAGGATTTAGAAGTCTTCCTGTCAGACAAGTCACAGTCACACTCTCGAACAAAGAGGAGCTGGGTTTGGAACCAGTTTTTTGTTCTGGAAGAGTACACTGGAACCGACCCTTTGTATGTCGGCAAGGTAAGAACTGCCAAACAGACGGATAAATGTTCAGGGATCGGATATTGACTAGGAAAGCTCAGCCGCCTGTGTCTGAGGCCTGAGAACAATTTTAACTAGCAGTATGTTACCTGCCAGCTAGGTGGATCTAATTTTGCTTCGTCAAGATACCAGCCAGCAAGGGGCGATTTCTCGCTCTATTCTTGCCTCTGTTCTCAGTGGGAAAACTGAGGAACTGGGTTTCCCGTCCCCAAAGAGGCAGGTGCAGCCTTCGGGGATGACAGGATGGGAGAGAAAGAAACTGGGAGACACAACAGGGGCAGCAGCGGGTTTTTCTTGCTTTGTATTTTTTTCAAAGCATTTCTACAGGTATAGCCTGAGGC